GGGGGGAGGGGGGGGGGGGGGGGGGGGGTCTACAACCTCAAAGGCGCGAACTTTTCTAAGCAAAACAAAACGTGAGCGCTCGCGAGAGGACAAGATAGATACGACTTGCAGCACGACGAAAACACTCAAGCACCCGTTCCCCTCCCCCCCTCGTCTCGAAAAGGATGCACGGTCGATCAGCCAACTGCCAGAGGCGCCCACATCGACCCGCACGAAGCCCACGTGAACCACAGCTCCCAAGATATAGCACGCGCGTGCGACACGGGGAACGATGGAGGAGCTCGGCTAAAAAACACAACCGACATGCACGCGTACGACGTGCCGGCTGACTCACCCAATGATCAAATGACAAGAGGCGACAAACGGTCCGTATGAGCCCAGATGGACAACAACTGTTTAAGCTAGCACGCGCTTGCAACACACGGAGCAACCGATACATGCACGCGTGTGTGGCTGGCTCACCGGACGATGTTCGGGTGCTGCAGCTGCTTGAGGAGGGAGATCTCGCGGATGGCGGTCGAGGGTATGCCCTCGTCCTCCGCCTCCAGCCGTATCTTCTTCAGGGCGATTATCTCATTCGTCACGCGATCCTTCGCCTGTACAGCAGCAGTATGTACAGCAGGATCGCAACAATGCAGTGCATCGTACGCATACGCAGGCTTGAAACAGACTCAAATTACGCCCAAGTATCTACAGCAGCACAGCAGCATCGCAACAATTCAGTATATTTAGGCTTAAACAGACACAAAACAAGCCGCGTATCCAGCCGGATCTTCGTCAGTGCGTTTGTCTCATTCGTCACGCGATCCTTCTCCTGTACAGCAGTATCGCAACAATTTCAGCGTGCAGCCTTAAAATGACATTATTTCGTATCATGATCGTAGTACACAGGAATAGCGTTGTTGGTCCGCTTGTCACGATGGAGATCCCCTTCGAGGATATTGACAGGAAGAGGCACTCGATACCAAGACACAAACAACAACTACTGCTCTACTGTAGAACAAAATGCAACAGCCGCGAAGACATCATTCATCTGTCACGTGTGCACTCTCTGCGGTGTTGCACATCTCTAGCCAGCCAATACAATGCCAGAGGGTTGGGCGTACGCAGGGAAGACAGACTAAAGCCGCGGCGGGACTAAATAGGAAATCATGACCGTGCTACGTACAGCAGTGACGCCTCCCCATTCTTAAAATCCGGGCAAGAGTGTGTAGCGCGGTTCCATCCCATGAGGCATTGACAGCAGTTTTCATGGACCAAAGGAGCTCGCGTAAGAGTTTCATATTTTTTAGTCCCAAAATGCCCGTCAAGGGCCCATTTGTATGTAAAACTACAGTACCAAATTTCGAGGTCAATCTCAAATAATGATGACTGCCATCGAGTGTTTGAGGCTGGCTGGCTGCTGCTGGCTTTCTGGGCACGCGACGCCTGTCATGCACTACAACAACAGTATGCAAAATGGGCCCAAGCGATTGCTTGGGATGCGGTTGATCATGGGGGGCGATCTGGAGAGTCAAAAGCAGGAACCGAATGTATGCAGCGGCCTCTGCTGCTACGCTGGTACGCGTTGTCTGAGGAATCCGAAATTTCAAAGACAAAATTGAAATTTAGGCTTTCGAATTTTGTTGGACTCGACCTGTCAGAGTCAACGAAAAAAAAGCGTGCGGTTGTACAGCAGTTGCAGATTAGTATGTAGAGAGAGCCAAGCCAAGCTGTGTCGAGAGAATACTTGAACTCCTTTACGCACGTGCTCTCTGTCGAAATGGAGATATGCATCCTGCTGTAGGTCACCCCGCCGGAGATTGGGTGACTTAAGTCTGACTTACGCATACACCGGATTGTTCCCGGAGGCCCGGATCGGGTGTTTTTTTCCGATTGAAGCCCATCACCATGTACGCACGCAAACACTGCTGTATACCACAGATGCTAGGAAAAATAAATACACACAGAGAGAATACCACAGATATGCCACTTACTTGATGTACTTACCCCTTTACCGACCGGTAACACACCGAAACCAGCAATCGGCGTTACCGACAGGAAATTTGTAATTTCCGCCAAAGGCGGGGATGAAAATCGACTGTCCCCGGGGTTTCCAGGTTGTTTTGTTCATGGTGCTGTGTGCTGCTCGGAGCGCTGGTACACCACCCCATAACACTGTTACTTTGATGCTTTGATGCTGTGACCCTACATTGTTGGCGTTCTCGCACCTTCTTGGTGTATTCGACATAGAGAACAATGTGGCCTAAGTAAACAGCAAGGAGTATACTGAAAAGTTCTCGGTGTTGACGTGATGCTACAGTACAGCTTTTCGCCTTTCAACTATGTATTGGCAACAGGGCGTTCGTTCTGTGTTATTAGACATGTATGTTAGTTGGTGCGTGGGCGGGTGATGAGCAGGATGCAGGGAGGGCTGCTGGTGCGGCTCACCCGTCGTCTACAGCTCCACGTCTTGACAGCACTATCAATCTATTCATAGAAGAAGAGGAAAAAACAAAATTCAAGATGAAGGCTGAATATTCCTCAAAGTTTATCACGTTCCCGTACATGGCCTCCTCATCTCCTCCCCGAAGAAGTCCTGGATAGAAAAAGAGAAAAAACGTATCTATCTACGAGCCAGAGAATCCGTCAACGAGACCATCAGCAGCTTCCTCCACCACGGGTGTCCACGACAGCGCCCTCCAAGAAGCCATGGCGGTCTTTCAGTGTCCGTGTGTCAGAGTGTGGGTGGTCTGCTACAGCTCGGGAGAGACACTGCTGTGTGGAGAGCTGCAGCAGCTGCTGCGCCTTTGGCAAGACAAGGGCTGAGGGGCCCCCGCAAGTGGAATGGGGGGGGGGGCGGCGGCGAGGTTTTCCGCAAAATTTTGACTTTACCGACCCCGCTTACCCTTTGGTACCTTTTAATTACCGGTAAGGCTGAGTCTTACGGTGTGATTATTTCCGGATTGGATTTGGGGGGGGGGGGTCCTGAGCTGAGCCAAAAAAAAAACTTGGGCCTCTTACGCGTAGGAAAATGGCAATTTCCAAAAGCCCAAAATCCAACAGCGCAGTTTCCAACAGCGATTCCGGCCGGCCTGTTGGAAAATTGGCCCATTTTCCAACAGCGATCCTGTTGGAAAAAAGAGGCTGATTCATGTTCTTGTGAGTCACAACATGCTTCAGTACACGGTTTCGGCTCGTGTGCGGCCAACAAGACACCGAGCGCCCTGTTTATGGGTCGCCTGCAGAGGGCATGTGTATCATCGCACGCCAGTGGCTGCAGTTTGTGGATGTCGTCGGCCAAAGGCCTCTCTCTGATGGCATGCGCTGTACACTGATCACACTCGAATCGGAGCAAGCGGCAGAAAAAAAAAGCAACGTGCAAAAAAGGCAACACCGAACCACACCTCGATTGATTCACGTTTGCAGGCCGTGTGCAATCAAAACTGGACAATACGCTCTGTTTCTGGGACACGAGCAGAGGGTATGTGTATGACCACACGCCACTGGCTGCTGTTTGTGGATGTCGTCGGCCAAAGGCCTCTCTCTGGCATGCGTTTTTGACTGGTCGCGGGTCGCGGGTGACACACGGAGCAAACACGCGGCGGAACAAGAAAAAATACCAAAAAGTCAACACCGCAACACACTTTGGTTCACGTTTGCAGGCCATGTGCAATCAAAACTGGACAACACGCTCTGTTTCTGGTACGCAAGCAGAGGGCATGAGTATGAACACACGCCATTGGCTGCAGTTTGTGGATGTCGACTGCTTAAGGCCTCTCTCTGGCATGCGTTTTGAACTGGTCACACATGCAGCATGCCCAAAAACGGCTCTTTTCGGCCCAAAGGCAAGAACGTCAGCAGAGCAATGTGGCAGGGTTGACGTTTTCGGCTCGTGTGCGGCCAACACGACGCAGAACGCCCTGAATTTTAGATACCTGCAGAGGGTTTGTGCATGACCTCATGATACTGGCCTCTGTTTGGCCAGCAGACGGTGTAGTTCCTCGTTCTGGCATGATCGGGGTGTGAGCAGGGGGTACCCCCCCCCATTTCTAACAGCGATTTTCCCTTCAGAAAAAAATATACCTCGAGGAACCGCAAGACGGTCGTTTGGATCTGGATAATTTTTTCGGTGCAGGCCACCCCCCCCCTCCCCCGAGAGAAAAAAAAAAACTCTGAAATAATCACACCGTAAGACTCAGCTTAAAGGGTAATGTACATCACTGCTTATTCTCTTGTTCTTATTTTTTATTTTTCTTAGTATGACACAACGAATCCAACCCTATCTTACAGAAAAGAGTTAGAGACAGATTAGCAATGAATTCATAGCGTCAGAAAAAGCTACCTGTTCGTGTACGATTTCCCAGACAGCATACAGAGACATCTCCCTGCTTGTTCTTAATAGTTTGTTGAGGTTCGCTGGGCTGCTCGAGTCGAAACACGTCAGCCGTGCGAGCTATTGAGCTGTTGATATGGCTCGGGAACTTGGGATTCGTCACAGCTGGCAGGTGGAAGTAGCCTGGCTATATAGCCCTGCTGCGGCCCCCGGTTGTATTTTCACCCTGCTTCATCCCCGGTCGCCCCGATGGTCTAGTTGGTAACCTCGAAACCTTCTAGAGGTCAGGTCAGGGGTTCGAATCCCGGCGTAGGCGAGCTTTTCTTGCAAAGTGAGTTTTTCTCTCGCTTCCGCTCCTGGCCGAGTGGATAGCGCTACTTCGTGTGTACACAGAGGGAAGAGAGTGCTGAGCTGAACTCTTCTCGCATTAAAAATCGTAGGCAAAGTACCGCAGGAGGGGAGGGTAGAGAGGGACTCTTCTGTGTGACCACGGGTCGGAATAAACGGCACTATTATAGTGCTGTGAGCGCTGATTTGAAGTGAACAAAACAAAAAAAAAATCCCCCCTGGATCACACTTGGCTGCGGTGCTCTCGTCTCTCATCAGCCAACAAGCCGCCAACCCAATCCGGAGGGCTGGAGCATCCTGTATTGTATTTTACTAGATGGTTATTGAGCTGCTGTGTGGCCTACTCTTATACAATCTACTGCTGTAACTATAGCCTCTATTTTATCTTGGGAGGAGTTTCGCACAACTCCCATACCCACGCTCTTCAACCATAGAGAGAGAGCAGCTATCTTTGACACTCGGCTGAAACAAAATTGAACGGTCTCTCACGGATATCTGCAGACAAGTATTTTTTTCTCTCATGTGACTCATGCATGTCGGGGGGGGGGGGGGGGGGGCG